AAAAAAAAAAAAAAAAAAATACTAAGCTGATCCCTATCTGCATTCACAAACTTAAAAAAACCTCTCAATTTATTAAAGAAAAACAAGTGACTAAACATTAGTAACTTTTAAAAAGTCTATCAGCAAGCAGGACATTAGCATTTATATTCCTGTCAAATAATAAAAATATAGTCAATGTATCTTAAAAAGTCAGGTGGGAATTTGGAAAAAAAAAAGGCAAGATGCAAACTCCCTGTGACCTGTTAGGGATGACTGTAACTAAACTTACAATTTTACTCTAATTCTCAAGTGGGCCCATCTCTGTACAGTTATCTAAAATTTATAGCAAGAGCTCTTAAACTTTTTTGGGCAATGTATCCTTTTAACCATCTATCAAAAGCCATTACCCTCCCTTGAAAAATGCATGTGTGCACACCCATTTTCTAAACCATGTCAGAGTGTTCAGAGACTCCAAAGAAAACTTAGAGGCAGACCGTAGATTTGACTGATGTTATAATTATACTGTTTGTGTATGAGTCTGAAACAGGTAAATATCAACCAGCCCCTTTTCTTAGTAATACTAATTAAAATTTGCCATTCTGAATTATTGAATTATACTGAAAAAGAAAACCAGAGGGAAGAATGCGCTAATAAAATTGGATTATACGAATGATTTCAATCCTTCCTTTCACAGTATAATTTTAAATTACTTAAATAATTTGTACAAAAATGTATTTCAAAAAAATCAAGCTTCAAAAAGAATATATTATAATAGCATCTGATTTTATAGCTTAAGACAATGTAAAACTCCCAAGCATTCTTAAGTCATATGTGAATACCTGGTCCTTTCACCTGAGTACAAATTCTGATATTTGGTTTGTTCTTATCAGTACTAAGACCTTGGCTATATCCTTGACCAAAGAACGTCAATGTGAATGATGAGGCATCAACCTATGAAAGAGAAAGCAAAGGGCTTCTTTAATAAATATATCATTTCCTCCTGGAACATCATAAAACCTACTGTTCTACTTCATATGAGACATTTTCAGTAGATTAAAAACACTGATATTTGCCCAGAATATCTTATCCTTTAAGCATGGAGGGAAAATTAACTCTCTGAAGCTGTAAGTTTTGATGACTGGTGTGATGTGGGGGGAAGAGAGGTGGTGACAAACAGGGATGAGATAATGATTCTCGAAGGTAGTTTTTATTGGGGTGGGGGATGAAATATGGAAATCTGGTCTTAGATAATTTGCTTTAGGTGACAAGACAAAAACAGTCAGCAAGTAATAGAAATATGGGCCTAGGGCACAGATGCATAATTGTTCCACTTAGAGATATAAAAATTCAATTCAAAAAGTTAAATTCTAGAGGACTTAGCATCTTTCATAATCACTAAATTTAGTAATAAGGTAACAAAGAATTCAGTCATGATCATCAAATTTTTATAAAGCATTGACAGGGAGTTGTTCATCACGGCATTGCCAGACAGGGCTGTGCTTCTTCAGACTTTCGACAGATTAAATAAATATAACCTGGGGTGCTAATTATACAATGATGATGCAGACACTCCAAGATTGCTTCCCTTAATACAGATAGAATTTTTGTAAAATGGATTTATTTTTCCAGAAAATGTCCTGGGTCCAAATTGTGTATTTTCTCATTTTATACTTTAAATGAGTATGTATATCATACTCATTGAAGAGACATAAGCATGAGACATAAATATATGGTCCCTGTCTTTCCTAGTGCTTATTAATGTAATTTAGCGAGGGAGAGAAATACATAACAGTATGAGACATAAACTAAAAGATGGAGACATAGCTCAGAGGAGGATGTTACTAAATCTATTGGGGCAGAGGGCAGCATTGTGAAATGTATACACACACACACACACACACACACATTTTAATAATTTACTACACAGAAAAGTAGGACGGATTCGAGAAAGCAGACACCATTATTTAAAGGGACGGAGGGATACAGCAGCATGGTGTACTAGAACATATAGTTCAAGAGGTGCAGACAAGATCAGACACATGCCACACTTGTCCTCTCCCCTGCTGTGGCACCCACGCTAACTGGTTATGACCCTCTCTCAGGCTATGCACACATTCAGCTTCAGAACTATTTTCAACATAGTCTCTGGGTTGCTACTACCAATTAATCAGAGTTGGATGAAAAGTGAAACCTACGTGGCATCCAGGACTAGGTCATGAGGAGCCTAGGATGGCCTCGCACCTCTGGAGATGGACTTCCAGCCAGTCGTACTCCAGGGTGTGTTCCAAAATCACCCAAACCTGACCTGGAACCTTCCTACCTGCACAGCAGTGATTCTCAACCCTGGCAGCACATTAGCATCACTGGGGAGATTTTGAAAACCCCGATGCTCGGGCCACATTCCAGACCAATTGAACCAGAATCTTTGGTCATCAGTTTCAAGTTCTCTCCCAAAGTGGAGAACCACTGCTCTATACTTCCAGGCCCCACTCCAAACCTACTGAATCAGAATATCCAGAAGCAGTGGAAGAGCCTTGTATTTGGAAAAAGCTCTCTAGGTGATTCTGATGTATGAAATCCCAGTTAAAAATCACTGCCAAAAGGCCGGGCGCGGTGGCTCATGCCTGTAATCCTAGCACTCTGGGAGGCCGAGGCGGGTGGATCGCTCAAGGTCAGAAGTTCGAGAGCAGCCTGAGCAAGAGTGAGACCCCCATCTCTACTAAAAATAGAAAGAAATTAGCCGGATAACTAAAAATATACAGAAAAAATTAGCCGGGCATGGTGGCGCATGCCTATAGTCCCAGTTACTTGGGAGGCTGAGGCAGAAGGATTGCTTGAGCCCAGGAGTTTGACGTTGCTGTGAGCTATGATGACACCATGGCACTCTAGTCCAGGCAACAGAGCAAGACTCTGTCTCAAAAAAAAAAAAAAAAAATCACTGCCAAAGCAGTAAGTCAAGGAAATTTTTCAAAGGCAATGACAAGGTCAGATTTTCTGTCTTAGAAAGATCTCTTAGACAGCAGTGGAAGATGGATTAGAAAGAAACCATAGGAAGGCTACAAAAAGTTCAGCCAAGAGATAAGGGCCTGTACTATCAACAGAGTAAAAGGCAACCCAAAGAAGAGGAGACAATGTTTTCAAAACATTTATCTGATAAGAGATTATAGACAACTCCTAAAATATATAGACAGAATATATAGACAACTCCTAAAACTTAACAAAAAACAAACAACCCTATTCAAAAATGGGCAAAGGGACTCAAATAGACATTCCTCCAGAAAAGGTATTACGAATGACCAATAAGCACATAAAAAGATGTCCAACATCATTAATCATTAGGTCAACGCAAATCAAAGCCACAAGATACCACCTCACACCCATGAGGATGGCTACTATCACAAGAAACCCAGAAAATATTAAATAACAAATGTTGGGGAGGGTATGGAAAAATTGGAACCCTGGTGTACCATTGGTGGGAAGGTAAAATGGTGCAGCCACTATGGAAAACCGTTTAGTGGTTCCTCAAAAAATTAAATATAGAATTAACATATGATCTAGCAATTCCACTTCTGGGTGTATACCCAAAAGAATTTAAAGCAGGGTCTTGAACAGATACTTGTACACTCATGTTCACAGCAGCACAATTTACAAGAGCTAAAAGCTGGAAGCAACACAAGTGTCCACTGACGAATGGATAAATAAAATGTAGCATATATATACAATGAAATATTATTCAACTTTAAAAAGGATGGAAATTCTGACACAGGCTACAATATGTATGAACCTTTAGGACATTGTGCTAAGTGAAATAAGCTAGTCGCAAAAAGACAAAGACTGTATGATTCCACTCATATGAGGTACTCAGAGTAGTCAAATTCACAGAGAAAGATGGTGGCTTCCAGGAGCTGGGAGGAAGGGGAAATGGGGAGTTACTATTTAATGGGTATAGAGTTTCAGGCTTGCAAGATGAAAAGAGCTCTGGAGGTGAACTGACTGCGATGGTTACACAACAATATAAATGTACTTAATAACACTCAAAACTTAAACATGGTTAAGATGGTAAATTGTATGTTCTGTGTATTTTACCACAATTAGAAGAAAAAGAGAGAGGTAAAGGCTTGAGCAAGGCAGCTGTGATGGGTTTGGAGAAAAATATAGAATGATACTTATGTTTCTTGCTGGGCAGATGATAGTACCACCAACTGAGATGGGAAATATAGAAAGAAGAAGAGAGTTTGGGTGAAAGAAGTTCAGATTTTGACATGTTGAGTTTCAAGTATCTGGAGGATATATGTCTAATAAAATAGGTGGATACATAAATCTGGAAATATAAATATATGTGTTAAGGGCACTGCTGAGATCACTTAGGGAGAGTGCGTGAGAAAGGGACGTAGGATGGAACCCTAGGACCCATTTAAATGATCCACATTTAAGGAGTAGAAAGAAGATGAGGATAAGGCATAGCAAAGGAGGAGAAAAAGCAGAGAGAAAACTTCATAGAGCAATTATCTCAGAAGCCAAGAGAAGCAAGTATTTCAAGTAGGACAATAATGTCAAAGATAATAGATAAATCAGGCCTAAAGAGCCTTTAGCAGTTGTAAGGTCAATGGTGACTTTAGCAAGGGGCAATAAAGGGTGAAGGAAGGATGAGGGCTCTTTTTTAGTTGGGAAAGACATGGACATGTTTATAGGATAAGGAGAAAGAACCTGTAGAGAAGCAGGAGGCAGAATCCAGAGGAGGGAAAAGGAATTATGAACTGATGAAGCCAAGGGAATCTGAACAAAAGCAGCAGTCATAGCTAAGACTCAGGCTATTTTGAATCTCAGATTCACCATATTCCAGCTATGTGAACTTAGGCAAATAACACCCTCTCTGTTTATTTCCTCAACTGTAAAAAGTGGACGATAATGATACTTTTTTTTTTTGAGACAGAGTCTCGCTCTGTCACCTGGGCTAGAGTGCCATGGTGTCAGCCTAGCTCACAGCAACCTCAAACTCCTGGGCTCAAGTGATTTTCCTGCCTCAGCCTCCAGAGTAGCTGGGATTATAGGTGCACGCCACCATGCCTGGCTAATTTTTTCTATTTTTAGTAGAGATGGGATCTCACTCTTGCTCAGGCTGGTCTCGAACTCCTGACCTCAAGCGATCCTCCCACCTCGGCCTCCCAGAGGGCTAGGATTACAGGCGTGAGCCACCGTGCCCAGCTGATAATGATACCTTTAACGCAAAGCACATAAAGCACGTAGCCCAGTGCCTGCAACATGGTAACTGCTTACATTGTAAAGGGCACAGGTGGGAAGATTAGCCTTGTACAGAAGAACACATCTTCCAGAGAGGAGGAAAGAAGGTGAAGATGGGAATAATGACAATAGATACGAGACTAGGGATCTGAGGGGGCACACAACACATGCTCTCAATTCTTTTAGTGAAGTAGGAGTTGAGATAATTTGCAGATAGGGATGAGGGCTGGGGTTGAAAAAAGCTACTGAGAAGAGATGGAGGCATGACTAATGAAAAGTAAAACAGGCTGGCACAGTGGCTGATGCCTGTAATCCCAGCACTTTGAGAGGCCGAGGCAGGAGGATCATCTGAGCCCAGGAGTTCGAATCTGCAGTGAGTAGTGAGCTATGATGGCACCACTGCACTCCATACTGGGCAGCAGAGAGACCCTGTCTCAAAAAAAAAAGAGGAGAGCTTGAAGCTCGGACTTGGGGGCAGCGGGGGCAAGGGCAACATACGTAACCTAAACATCTGTACCCTCATAATATGCTGAAATAAAAAAAAAAAAAAAGGAGAGGGGAGGGGAGGGGAAGGGTGGAGAGGAAAAAGAATCAGCCTTGGGATTTCCCCATGCAAGTGCCTTGTGTAAAGGAGATGAAAGCTAAATGACCCAAGGCCTGATTCAGGGTGGGATCTGTAAGTCGAACGGTAGAAAATGAGGCCTTCTTATTGCTGAGGATATTGGATGCATGGTGATTTACTTTATCTACCATGGGAATTCAGGGTATGTGGAAGAGAAAGTGAAACTTGGGGGCAGGGGACGCACAAGGAAAAGATAACAGAGGAGAAAAATATTTGAGATTTCTATAAAGTAAAGAGAATACATTTTCTGGAGCCATATGGCTGGGTTCTCATCCCACCTTGACCATTTATAGCTGTTGAACCTTGGGCAAGTTTCTTAGCCTCTCTGTGCCTCAGTTCCCTCATTTGTAAAACAGAGATAATAATAATACATACACCCAACGCGTGTTTGAAAAGATTAAGTAATCTAATTTAAGAATTTAAAAGAGTGTCTGGGACACAGTAAATGCCCCATCAAGTCTTAGATGATATTATTACTACACTGAGGAAAAGTACAAATAGAGGAAAATATTATTTTAGAGCTCTGAATATAAAAGAAAGGATTACCTGTTTTTGTGTTGGACCTTGTTTTGAAAAATAGCCAAAGGAGAAGAGCCATGGGAACTAAAGAGGGGGAAAAAAACCTCAGTGATATTTTTAAAAACTCAAGGAAAATTTCTAAAAATCAATTTCATAAAATCTTACTTACTTTTATGAGAAGTTGCCTTCCAATGCCAAACCTCACAAAGAATAAAAAGAAAAGTCCTGCAAACATCAGCTTAATAACAGAGGTGATGCTTCCCACAGTTATATAAGCAGCATACTGAACCTAGATTAAGAATATAAAGTTAGAATGTTACTCACTACATTTTAGACCAAGTAATACAAGCATGTTATGTTGGCTACTTCTAACTTTCTCTTCAGTCACAAATATGGAACAAAAGCAATTTCCACTTTATGAGTGCATTATGTTCTATAAGCTTGTTTAGAGACCAGACATTGGGAGACTATTTTTAAAGAAATTGTTACAAATGGTAATTAGCTTCCCTATTTGACTGAACACAAAAGTCCACATAATCTATAATATATATCTGAGTTTAGCAACAATACATTACAGAATGCAGACTCCACTTACAACCCTTCCTATGAGAAAACACCCTTAATCTTTTAACTTGAGATACAGTTTCCCCTTGAAGTCTCAGCAGTGAAAGCAAGTACTTCCCTCACCACTCCAGAGGTAGCAAGGAGAGAAGGGATAGAGAGGTCCCAGACATCTCCACAAGCAATGAAGAGTGTTTCTAGCAGCCGAAACACTAAACAGGGACTGCTGAATGCTTATGACACCAGGATTTCTTGTATTGAATTTGCTGTTGTTGTGTTATATTAAAAAGGTATTCAGCAGGCAAGATCTGAATCATGGTGCATGGCTATTACCACCCCCATAAAATGCAAAATGCAAAATGCTCTACCCTAACAGTTCTATTTCTGGAAGCTGCAACATGCATTATTTAGCTTTCTTTTTTTTGCCTTATAAATAAAAATATCCTACATTAAACAGATAAGGGAACTTAACAAACATAAAATACTCTTTACTAATAAATAAATCATATATATATGTACTTACTGGTGATTCCTCTAAATTTTCATGCAAGTAACGCTGAGTCCGCTTCACAACAGACACATCCGATCCCAAGAAAGGAATGGAATATAGGTTGAGTTCTCTACAAAAAGAAATTGGCCACCTGCAAGACAGACCCATGAATATTTTGCATTTTCTCCAATTACAGTGACAACTTTAGCTGGTAAATTTTTGAATAAAAAAATCAGTAACTTTTTTTGAGACAATAATAAAGATGGTGGATTTGCTTTTAATTAAAATTTATTTCAATAATTCTTCCTTTGTTCTCCACACCTATACCCAAATAAATGACAAGTGAAACAGTGTAGTATTCTTCATATCATGGACATTTAACACATGTAGTTTAACTATGTTTTACCCCATCAATTTTCCTAAACAATAAAAAGAACATTCATTTCAACAGCCCAGTTCTAATCTCATATCTCTAACGTTCTCATATAAGTGCTATTAATGAAGTTAATTCATCTACCTTAAGATCAGCACACTTTAAAATGGTGGTTTTACTGCATAAAATTTAATTGACATTTAAATTTATACTGATAGTAAAAAGCCATCATAAAATTCACTTTCTTCCTAGTATTCAAATGTATTATTATATATGAAGTACTAAAGCTTATGGTAATATACTGAAAACAATCCCGAACTTACTACAAAATAGTCTCCAAGCTTTTCTTAGTAGCATACTTTATTAATAGCCAATGCAACAACAATATACTTAGATTATCTTAGATATATTAAAGAACAGATTCTCATTCCCACTGCTTCACTTGACTAGAAGAAAAAAAAAGAATAGATTCTGAGATAATATACCTTCTTTTCAATTTTGGACCAACAACTGGGAGAGGTTTCAGATTTGATGCATGTCGTAGTTTTCTCAAATTACTCTGATCTCCAAAACCATAAATTGCTGACTTCCAGGTACCATCGTGAATGCACAAGCCCTAATAAAATATTTCAAGAGTTAAAGGAACACGCCTTAAGGGGTAATTACTAAAATGTAAAACCAAGAAACTTACAATTGTTACAAACATTTCACTACTATTTGGACAAGACATAATTCTTATTTAATAATTTTGAGATGAATTTTCATGACCAACTAGGCAGCAATAACAGTCATTAGCTTGATCATATTCAATATTTATACCAACATAAGCCCTTTCTTCTTTCTTCTGACCATTATTTATGTTCTCTGTAATAATTATTATTCAACTAATTGATGATATTCCTTCAAAATTTGCCACTCTAACCTATTCCTATCCTATGCTGATTCCTCAAAATGTCAAGACACATTTCTGTGCAGACATTTATGAATACACACACAGCATACCGTCCACTCATCCTCTGTTAATACCTGCTTCCCCATCCACCTCCATCGCCACTTAGTCTAGCCCCAACTTATATACCAATCTTTCTTCAGAAGTCTTGTTAAAATATTTTTTAATTCTAAAGTTTATAAATATGATTTGTATTTTATTTCCTCAATCCTTCAGTTTCTTTTTGGTACTACAACCAGTAGAGAATCCTTTTCTTTTCTTTTTTCTTTTTTTTTCCTCTATCTGTTGCCTGGGCGAGAGTGCAACGGCATCCTCATAGCTCACTACAACCTCAAATCCTGGGCTCAATCAATCCTCCTGCTTCAGCCTCCTGAGTAGCTGGGACTACGGGAGCAGCCCATGAGGCTGGTTTATTTTTTTTTCTATTTTTAGTTAAGACAGGTCTAGCTTTTGCTCAGGCTGGTCTCAAACTCCTGATCTCAAGCGATGCTCCTGCTCTGGCCTCCCAGAGTGTTAGGGTTACAGGCATGAACCATCATGCCCAGCCAGGAAAAGATTCCTGACTTGACTCTGTAAGAACCATCCACTCAGTAATTCTTTTGTTGTCAAATAAAGAGAAGAGACTATCATTAGATCTACCTGGTCTTTCCAACCACATCTTCTGCTGCTCTTTCAAAGGAGGCCTCTGTGCTAGCTCTACCAATTTTCTCACTCTCTCCAGGTAGTGGACATCTGCCTCTGTCAGTCCTGTACTAATTCGCTATGGCCCTTACCCCTTCTGTTTATAAAACTCACTTTCCTTTTTGGAAGCTCCTCCATGTTGTTCAACTGGGATTGACCCTAGGGTCCCCCCTGCAGGGGTCCATGACCCAGACCTGGGCAATTTGATTACTCCATTAGTCCAGGTCACATTGATTGGCTCAAGAATGGTCAAATGTCCCAATACTTGACTAATCTTCCCTATCATTTGATATGTGAACTCTGGTAGCTCTTTCCAGGAAATCCTGAACCTTAAGGACAAAGCATACTTGGGGCTGCCAGCACCTTCCCTGCTCTGCCAAGAGCCTACACAGAAGAAAGCAGAAGCAGCGAAAGAGACAGAGAGAGAGAAAATTAGAGGGGAAGGAAAAAGAGTTCTGACAATGTCATTTGAACATCTAGATCCAGCCTCATTTACTTACCAATACTTGGTTATATGAATCAATGAATTTCTTTTTGTTTTGTTGGTTTAAACTGGATTGAGCTGGGTTTCTAACACATGCTACCCAGAGTTTCAAGCATGTCTTTCTCATTCTTGTTTCTGAGCCTTTGCTCAGGTTGTTGCCTCTGACCTTACAAATGCTATTCGTTTTTCAAGGCTAATCTCAGGAAGGCCTCTCTGAGGCACTTCCAAATTATTCAGGCCCACTATCACTTCCTTTTATTCTTATACTCTAGTAGATAATCTGTGTAACCATAAATTTTAGCACATTTTATATAGCTCTGTGTGTTATCTGAACCTACAATCCAGATGCAGAGAATCATCATTCTTACTTAAACATGCTCTACACCATCCCACCTTTGTGTCTTTGTTATACTATTTCCTCTTCCTTCACATCTCCACAGCACCAGCCCTTGAAATTCAGTCCATATCCCAGCTTCTCCAAAAAGTTCTTGATCTTTGGACTCCCAGCTAGATGTACTCTCCATTCTCAGAACCCTACAGTATTTCACCCCATCTCTTTAATAACAAACACTTTCTCTTTCCTGTCAAACTAAATTATTACCCTTTTAAGGGTAGGGTTTGCATCTTATTCACTGACATGCCACTTTATCTTGCACTACTATATACATCTGCACCACTACACAATATTTGTTGAATGAATATATTTTAGAACAAATACTTATGAAGTCACAGAACAGATCTAGAATTTGGCTAGGCACCATTGGCAATAAAAATACTATCATAAAATATGATCCTTTCCTAGCAATACAACTGTTTTATGTTCCTAAAGAAACTATAAATTCAGTACGACTAGATTTACTTCATACATTTCTTTTATGGTCACAAAAGGATCTAACTCCAAGTTAGGCACATAATAAAAATATACTGACTTGCACTAAAGTGAAAATTTTCTGGGCCAACAACATTTATTACACAACAATAATAGATGCTTTAGAGTTGGGATCATGGTAATTCACTTTAATATAATGAACTGTAGAGTTGTTTTTAATGTAAGTTATATTTTAAGTCAAAGTAATCTTCGAAATTTAGTATCTTTACTTTTTAAAATTAAACATAGTGACTTTCATACGTAAAAAATTATAAATACATAAAAAATTAATTAATCTAAATCTTTTTAAGGCAATGCATCATTTCCAAAATGTTTTTAATATTAACATGAAAAAACACTTGACAAACAGAAAAACTAACCTCAGGTCCTGGATGTATAGTTAGGAAACTTTCCACAGCAGTCAAAGTACCTCAAAGAGTTAAGAGAATGGTAAAAATAAAATCAAATAAGATTTTTTGATTATTTAGCCAGGATAAGTAAATAATAAACTATTCCTATTCACTCAGGGACCACGTTTACTAAGCCTATAGCTGATATAGCCAGAAAATCTGTACAGATAACAGCTTTATTACATTTTTGTAAACAGACTTAAGAACCAGCTAAAGCCAGGTAAACTGTCAGAAAGAGTTGTTTAGCATAAACTCTAACTGCTAGTACTGACAAAATCTTTTCCAGTATTTAAACTGAAAAGACTAAGACTCTCCCTCAATAAGGCAACAATTTAGCTCACTCATTCTGGAAGGCCCAACAGACCACAGTTCTCAAAATGAGATCTATGAGAATTATTCTGTTTTCAAATACAACAGCTTTCAAGAGGCTTATTAGTAGTGGCTTACAATTAATGCACACAAAAACTATCAACACACACTTTATGATGGCTTATAAAATACTTAAAGCTGTTAAAATGAAATAAAAATATAAGTATAAAATAAAAGTCAAAAACCAAAGCCAGAAAAAAGGGAGAAATTATATTAACCATGAAGACTAATATATAGGCATAGTGGTTAAGTATTTAATTATTGAGTTTCTCAAGAATGGTAAGGCAAAAGAAAACCATAGGGGGGCCAGGTATAGTGACTCGGGCCTGTAATCCTAGCATTCCAGGAGGCCAAGGTGGGAGGATCACTTAAGGCCAAAAGCTCAAGACCAGCCTGAGCAACATACTGAGATCCCATCTCTACAAACAATTTTTTTTTTTTGAGACAGAGTCTCACTATGTTGCCCGGGCTAGAGTGCCGTGGCGTCATCCTAGCTCACAGCAACCTCAAACTCCTGGGCTCAAGCAATCCTTCTGCCTCAGCCTCCCGAGTAGCTGGGACTACAGGCATGCGCCACCAGGCCTGGCTAATTTTTTCTGTATATTTTTAGTTGTCAGATTAATTTCTTTCTATTTTTGGTAGAGAAGGGGTCTTGCTCTTGCTCAGGCTGGTTTCGAACTCCTGAGCTCAAACAATCCACCGGCCTCGGCCTCCCAGAGTGCTAGGATTATAGGCGTGAGCCACTGCGCCTGGCCTACACAAACTTTTTAAAAATTAGCCAGGAGTGGTGGTGTGTGCCTGTAGACCCAGTTACTCAGGAAGCTGAGGCAGAAGGATGGCTTGAGCCCAGAAGTTTGAGGTTGCAGTGAGCTATGATGACACCACTGCACTCTACTAGCCCAGGCAACAGAACCATACTCTGTCTCAAAAAAAAAAAAAAAAAAGAAGGAAGAGAAAGAAAAGAAAAACGTAATGGGCTGGCTAATTCTCAAAATATAATAAAATAACCAGAGAATATAACCTAGGTATGTGGCCCTGTGATCTAACCCTGACCACAGAAAGATGAACTCTACTAGCCCGGGCAAAAGAACCATACTCTGTCTCAAAAAAAAAAAAAAAAAGAAGGAAGAGAAAGAAAAGAAAAACGTAATGGGCTGGCTAATTCTCAAAATCTAATAAAATAACCAGAGAATATAACCTAGGTATGTGGCCCTGTGATCTAACCCTGACCACAGAAAGAATATAGACCAACTATAGCAGTAACCTAATAAAATGTAGACCACCTGCATCAAAAATCAGCTGCGGTACTTGTTAAAATGCTGAAGGTTTCAGTATCTGAAAAAAACTTTCTTTACAAATCTTAAAGTAATATTTTTCCCTTAAGAAAAAAAGACCTATTCAAAATAACAACAAAAATGATCAAATATTTAGAAATAACCTCAATAAGAAATATGCAGGATGATCATGAAGAAAACTTGTAAACTTCACAGACTTTAAAGAATTTTTTTAATAAATGGAGACATACTAGGTCCATGGATTGGAAGACTAAATATTTTAAAGATATTCAATTCACATTCCTCTTTTTAATGGGAATGGTTCTGGTGTTTCACCATTAAGTATGGTGTTGGCTATTGTGTTCTAACATTTATTATATAAGAAAGCATTCTTCTGGCTGGGCGCAGTGGCTCAAGCCTATAATCCTAGCACTCTGGGAGGCTGAGGTGGGCAGATCATTTGAGCTCAGGAGTTCGAG